AAAACCTAAAAATGGGAGAAACCCCCCCCCCCCCCCATTAGCAAAATGTACATAAATCATTTTTATATGCAAGGACAGGGTTTCTTTTTCTAGTTTAACCCTCAATTCCCACCTGTTTTCCTCTCCTGGGTGCCCAGACAGACCTTCCAACAGCCTGAGGTGTCTATAGGACAGCAACCCTCACCAACCCACTTGTGCCCATCCAAGGAAGGATGGGATTCACTTGTCTATTGAAAATGCACCTCACAGAATCAATCACAGGATCTCAGGGGTTGGAAGGGACCTGGAAAGCTCCCCCAGCCCAACCCCCCTGCCAGAGCAGGGGCACCCAGAGCACATCACACAGGAACGTGGCCAGGGGGGTTGGAATGTCTCCAGAGAAGGAGACTCCACAGCCTCTCTGGGCAGCCTGGCCCAGGGCTCTGTCACCCTCACAGCAAAGAAGTTCTTCCTGAGATTCCCATGGAACCTCCTGTGCTCCAGTTTGCACCCACTGCCCCTTGTCCTGTCACTGGACATCACTGAATAAAACTTAACTCCATCCTCCTGACACTCACCCTTCACATATTTGTAAACCTCCTGGCTACCTAGGAGGGCAAGCTATACTATTTCCAGGTTTTCTCTCATGAAGGACTCCCCATTATTGAAGGACCCAGCACTGGGAGTGGACACCCTGCCATGGGGCTCTGCATGCAGCAGTTGTTCTGCTGCCCCATCCTGTTGTCACACCTCTGGGTCACCTGCCAGGGCATAACACTGCCCCACAAATGTACTTCTCATCCATTTTATATCCCCCAAAACTGATCTGTATCCCAAGCCAGCAGCAAGAGAAGACTCTGACAACTAGGTTCTTCAGAACACCCCTAGTTGTCCTTGATGTTGCTGCCCTGTGCAGCACAGAGGTGTCAGGACACAAGTGTATCTACAACTTGGATGGGGCTTGGAGCAACCTGGTCCAGTAGAAGATGTCCCTGCCCATGGCAAGGGATTGGAACTATTATCTTTAAGGTCCCTTCCAACCCAAACCAGTCTGTGATTCTATAATAACCTCACTTTTTCCTCCCATCAGCTCTGATTTCTTGCTTCTTATGCTCCCTCACGCATCTCCAACTTGGCTTATGATCCTCAGCTCTTTTTTTGGAGGATTACAGAAGGAAATTGGAAGGAATCATGCTATTTGCACATGCCAGCCTTTGCCACATGCTTTAATCTATATTTGAAGGTAATTCAGCACAGTTGCAGAGAAGGATATTAATTTTCTTTCCCATCTCCTATCTCAACCTCAACAGGAAGCTGAGGGAGATGTGGGGAGGGGAGGAGAGAGACAGAGCAGCACATCCAGGGACAGGACAGGGGGCAATGGGCACAAACTGGAGCACAGGAGGTTTGACCTGAATGGGAGAAAATAGTTCTTGCCTGTGAGGGTGGCAGAGCCCTGGGACAGGCTGCCCAGGGAGGCTGTGGAGTCTCCATCCCTGGGGACATCCCAACCCCACCTGGATGTGTTCCTGTGGGATCTGCTCTGGGGGATCCTGCTCTGGCAGGGGTTGGACTGGGTGATCTCCAGATGATCTCCAAACCCAACCATTTAATGATTCTGTGATTTAAGTTATAATGAAAGGTTTCTGGGAGGAAGGTGGGTTTCTGTAGGCAAGAACTAACCGATCTCCACCAACACATTCCTCTTCTGAACCTACCCATCCAAACCCACCCACCACCTGGAGCATGTCTGAAAAATACCATTTCCTGTGATGAAGAACCATATGTCAAACCCAAGAACCCACAATTTCTTTTCCAGCAGCAGCCAGGCAGCCCCCACCCCCTTTTGCCTTCCAGCCCCTCCTCCCAAGGAACCATCACTTCTAGGAAACAAAAAAAGAGAGGGCTGGGAGGTCTGTGCTCTCCCTCTCCTGGGGGTGGTTCATCTGTTCAGGCTCTGATCCTGCAGGACCTTGTCAAGTCAGAACAACCAGTTTCAGGAGGAGTTTTGTATTGGGAGGTTCCAGACTGATCCCTTAATTACCTACCAGCACGTTGCCAGTTACAACTGAATCCTGCCAAGGCATTTTCCTTGGCACTGTCTCTCCCCCAGCTTGTTGCACACCCTTCATCTCCCCTTCTGTGCTCCAAACACCAGATCTACATCTCTCACATTTCACAGCAAGGATTTTTCAAACTGTTTTACATACCAATCAGGGCCTCCTTGGGTTCTAGCAAACCCCAACCTGCCCATTGATCACCCTCAGTTCTAACTCCTGTGTCACCTCCCAAGGTTTTTCCACTGTTCCTTCCTCCATGCACAGCCTGAACAGTTTCACATCTGCTCAGCCCCTCCTCCAGGGTTGGGTTCAGCACAAAAAGAGCACCAGGGAGGTTCATAAGACAGGCTGGGAGAGTTGGGGTGTTCAGCCTGGAGAAGAGAAGGCTCCAGGGAGAGCTGAGAGCAGCTTCCAGGGCCTGAAGGGGCTCCAGGAAAGCTGGGGAGGGACTTGGGACAAGGGCAGGGAGGGATGGGAGCAGGGGGAAGGGTTTCCAGCTGGAAGAGGGAGCTGGAGCTGAGATGGGAGGGAGAAATTCTGTGCTGTGAGGGTGGGGAGAGCCTGGCCCAGGTTGCTCAGAGAAGCTGTGGCTGCCCCATCCCTGGCAGTGTTGAAGGACAGGTTGGATGGGGCTTGGAGCAGCCTGGGCTGCTGGGAGGTGTCCCTGCCCATGGAGGGGGTTGGAACTGGATGGGCTTTAAAGTTCCTTCCAACCCAAAGCACTCTATGATGATGAGGTACCTCACTGAGCCAAGACCAAAGCCAGGCTGCTCTAACAACCTGGCATTTCTCAGTCTCCAAATTTGGACTCTCTGTCAGCAGGGACCCCAAAACATTTCCCTGAAGTCTCTCTCCCCAGGATTTGACCTCCCCAATTCCACAAGTTGTTCAGTTCTCTGAGATGAGGGCACGTGCACCACATGCATCTAAAGTTTATGCTTTTCCCAAGAACACCACAAAAGCAAGTACCAGACACACCACCCAGTCCAGAAAGTCCTGTGTTCCTGACACCCTGCCCCTTTCCAAGCTGAGAAGAGCTGTTTACCTTGTGAAGCCAGTGCAGGTTCATTTGCTGTCCCACAGCTATGTGACATAGTGCCAGTATCTGGGAGGAAGAAATCAAGAGTCAGACAAGGGCACATCACAACCATCAAGTGTTTGCAAGTGCAGGGCCACAGCACCCCAAAAGATCACCCAACAGGCCTGGGCAGAAAGCAGGATTGGGGTGGGGATGGTCCAGCAGACACATCTAGCCTGGTTGTACAGACAGATCTTCTCCAAAGTCAAGGATGTGGAGGGAAAAGGCTTTGACCTCCAAGAGACAAGGAGCTGGCAAATCTGGTCCATGGGTGCACAACTCCTGAGACCTCAGCTACCTGGGGACAGGTACCTCAATGGACACCTCCTTGGAGATCCCAGCAACCTGGGATGAGGGGAAGCAATTGGTGCTTGTGGCTGACAGGGAGACCTGAGTGGAAAATGGGACACACTAAGGGGCACAGGAGCTGTGTTTCTCCTCTCCCAAGTCTCTGCTGCCCAGGAACAAGCGACAGGACAAGAGGGAACGGCCTCAAGTTGTGCCAGGGGAGGTTGAGGTTGGATCTGGGGAACAATTTCTCCCTGGCAAGGGTTGTCAGGGCCTGCTGTGGCTGCCCCATCCCTGGGGGTGTTGAAGGGCAGGTTGGATGGGGCTTGGAGCAGCCTGGGCTGCTGGGAGGTGTCCCTGCCCATGCAGGGGGTTGGAACTGGATGGGCTTTAAAGTTCCTTCCAACCCAAAGCACTCTATGATGATGAGGTACCTCACTAAGCCAAGACCAAAGCCAGGCTGCTCTAACAACCTGGCATTTCTCAGTCTCCAAATTTGGACTCTCTGTCAGCAGGGACCCCAAAACATTTCCCTGAAGTCTCTCTCCCCAGGATTTGACCTCCCCAATTCCACAAGTTGTTCAGTTCTCTGAGATGAGGGCACGTGCACCACATGCATCTAAAGTTTATGCTTTTCCCAAGAACACCACAAAAGCAAGTACCAGACACACCACCCAGTCCAGAAAGTCCTGTGTTCCTGACACCCTGCCCCTTTCCAAGCTGAGAAGAGCTGTTTACCTTGTGAAGCCAGTGCAGGTTCATTTGCTGTCCCACAGCTATGTGACATAGTGCCAGTATCTGGGAGGAAGAAATCAAGAGTCAGACAAGGGCACATCACAACCATCAAGTGTTTGCAAGTGCAGGGCCACAGCACCCCAAAAGATCACCCAACAGGCCTGGGCAGAAAGCAGGATTGGGGTGGGGATGGTCCAGCAGACACATCTAGCCTGGTTGTACAGACAGATCTTCTCCAAAGTCAAGGATGTGGAGGGAAAAGGCTTTGACCTCCAAGAGACAAGGAGCTGGCAAATCTGGTCCATGGGTGCACAACTCCTGAGACCTCAGCTACCTGGGGACAGGTACCTCAATGGACACCTCCTTGGAGATCCCAGCAACCTGGGATGAGGGGAAGCAATTGGTGCTTGTGGCTGACAGGGAGACCTGAGTGGAAAATGGGACACACTAAGGGGCACAGGAGCTGTGTTTCTCCTCTCCCAAGTCTCTGCTGCCCAGGAACAAGCGACAGGACAAGAGGGAACGGCCTCAAGTTGTGCCAGGGGAGGTTGAGGTTGGATCTGGGGAACAATTTCTCCCTGGCAAGGGTTGTCAGGGCCTGGCCCAGGCTGCCCAGGGCAGGGGGGGAGTCCCCATCCCTGGAGGGGTTTCCAAGCCCTGGAGATGGTGCTGAGGGACACGGGGCAGGGGTGGCCTGGGCAGGGCTGGGGGAAGGGTTGGGCTGGGTGATCCTAAAGGTATTTTCCAACCAAAGAGATTCTGATTCTATGGTTCTATCCTTTCCTGTTGATTATTTGAGGTCAAAGACCACACTTTATTTGCACTTTCCATTTACTTTAGGCAACTCCAGGTTCAGAGAGGGAGAGAGAAATCACTTCTGAAAGGAAAATTACTTGAGTCACAAGGTGGACAGAGAAGTTCATGACCTTTTGAAAACAAACCCAGACTTTTAGGAGGTGTCATTTGATTCCACTCACCAGTAACACTGTAATGTATGTAAAACCAGCAGCAGTTGTTACGAGTATTGGAATGGACCAGTCACTCCAATATCCCATTTGATTATATAAAAACCTGAAAGACAAGCACAAAGGAAAGATGAAGGAGAGATTCAACATCACAGCAACTTCACTAGAATCAGGTAAACCTTAGAAAAGGGACCTTTCCCTTCCCACTGTGCAGACAAGAGGGAGGAAAAAGAACAAGTCACTCTGAAGCAAAATCCAATGTTTTTGCTTTGATCTTTCATTGGAAATTAAGTCTGCAAAGAGGAATCAGATCATTACATTAAACACAGCAACAGTGTTATTTTTGGGGGGGGAAGTAAAGAAGTCATACAGGACCAGAACTTGAGTTTTCAGAAGAATATTCCTTGGGAACAAGGGCAACTCTACTTTGCAGAGTAGGGATGATGGTTGGACTGGGTGATCCCAAGGGGCTTTTCCAACCTGAGTGGTTCTGTGATTCTATGATCCCAGCAAAACCACAGCAAGACACAAGACGCAGTCCACTCCCTTCCCTGGCAAGAAATGCAGGACACCCAGGGTGCTTCCCACCAGGAGAGCAGCAGCCAAATCCTGGAACCCTACCTGCAGCTCCTGAGAGCTCAAGTCTGACCTGGATGATATTTTTTTGAATGGATTTTCAGAAAAAAACACTTCACTGGGTTGACTCAAGTTGGGGGTAACTTTATCTCTATAGAAATCCTCTGGTACAGCAAAGACAAGATGGTTATGGGGTGGAAGATGCACCTACTCATCAGCTCATCCAATGAGCTGCCCAAGGCAAACCCACAGGGTTCTCTGTTCCTTTTTTTGGTGACAACAAGCACAAATGCTGCAGGGCAAGCAGGAGAGAGACTCAACCTCCTCCCCACCACTGAAATCCAGCATCATTCATCAGCCACAAACTCTGCTCTAGCAACTGTCACATCTATTATGTCTAGCAGTAAAGCTCCCGTGGAGGATCTGGAGACCAAATCCTGGAGCTCAACAAGCTATAATAACCCATGTCCAGGTTCTGCTAAAGGGTTCAAAGAGCTGTAACAAAAGGGATCTGGAGGGACTCAGACATGATGTCAATAAAAGAAGAGGGAAGAAAGAAAAGAGATCTCCCTCTCAAGCCTTTGCTGATGCCACCACCACGAGCTTCCTTAGCTCAGCTTCTGTACTTCTTTTGCTCTGATGGCCCTTCAAGTGTCAGGTCTTCAGTGCAAATGACTGGTTGAAAATGCTGTTTCCATGGTAGTGATGAACACAGGGGCCTTCCCCAGAAAGTAAGGAAGAAAGAATCTCCTACACAGCCTTGCATTTCCAGTCCTGCTCCAGAGGGAACACAGCCAGGTCCACCAGTTAAAGTGTCTCCCACACCCTTCATGGATCAGCACTGAGCTTTCCAGCTGCAGAGCATCACTGGAGATCTCTGCTGTGATGCAATGAAGTGTAGACACCACTATAAAAAAACAATGCCCAAAGCAATCCATTTAAAATAAAATGAATTAAAACTAAATGCAAAAGCCACAAAGCCCTTTCCCTGACAAGGACCTCATTGCACATTCAGCCTGAGAGAAGAAGGTTAAAAGCCTGCAGAAAAAAAAATGATACCAGGTTATAATTTTGCCTTTTTAAAGCCCATTTCAATCCCAAAAGAGTCCCTGAAGTCTTGAGGAGTTTAAAGGCCAAATCAGCACATTAGTTGGAGGCAAACCCCACCACTGCCACCACTTCATATGGGCAGGTTGGTTTGGCAGAGATCTATCTGCATCCACTGGAGCCTGAACATGCTGCCTGCTCCACAGGCAGGGTTTGCATCCCTCATCTCTAGGTTTCTGCTACTTCTTCACTCGCCCCTGGCAGCTGCTCAGCAGCACTTAGCAGGTTTCTGCCCAGCTGGGTTAAGAAACAAAGACCATCCTAATGAATTGGAGAAACTGGCTGCTCGTGGCTTGGGTTGGTGTCCATTTTGCTGGGGAAAAAGCTGCCTGGGGGGCCAGGCCCAAAGGGTTGTGGTGAATGGAGTTCATTCCAGTTGGTGGCCAAGGACAAGTGGTGGCTCCCAGGGCTCAGTGGTGGGGCCAGTTGTGTTTCATGTCAGTGATCTGGAGGAGGGGATGGAAGGAACCTTAGGAAGTTTGCAAAGGACACCAAACTGGGTAGGAGAGCTGATCTGCCTGAGGGTGGGAAGGCTCTGCAGAGGGACCTGGACTGGCTGGATCCATGGGCCATGGCCAGTTGTACAAGGCTCAGCAAGGCCAAGTGCCAGGTCCTGCACTTGGGTCACACCAACCCCAGGCAACACTCCAGGCTTGGGGAAGAATAGCTGGAAAGTGCCTGGTGGAAACAGGGTGTTGATTGACAGGGGCTTGAACATGAGCCAGCGTGTGCCCAGGTGGCCAAGAAGGGCACCAGCATCCTGGCTTGTGTCAGCGCTGGGGTGGGCAGCAAGAGCAAGAGAGGGATCATGTCCCTGTGCTGGGCACTGGGGAGGAGACACCTCCAATCCTGGGGTCAGTTTTGGGCCCCTCAGGACAAGAAGGACATGGAGGGGCTGGAGCGTGTCCAGGGAAGGGCAAGGGAGCTGGGGAAGGGGCTGGAGCAGAAGGAGAAGGGGCTGGAGAACTTGTGAGGAGCAGCTGAGGGAGCTGGGGGTGTCCAGCCTGGAGCAAAGGAGGCTGAGGGGAGACCTGCTGGCTCTGCAGCTGCTGAGAGGAGGTTGGAGCCAGGGGGGTCGGGCTCTGCTCCCCAGGAACAAGCGACAGGACAAGAGGGAACGGCCTCAAGTTGTGCCAGGGGAGGTTGAGGTTGGATCTGGGGAACAATTTCTCCCTGGCAAGGGTTGTCAGGGCCTGGCCCAGGCTGCCCAGGGCAGGGGGGGAGGCCCCATCCCTGGGGGGGGTTCCAAGCCCTGGAGATGGTGCTGAGGGACACGGGGCAGGGGTGGCCTTGGCAGGGCTGGGGGAAGGGTTGGATGTGATGATCTGAAAGGGCTTTTCCAATCAAAATTACTCTATAATTCTATGAATTCAGCTTCCAAGGACCATTTTAGCTGAAAAAAAAAAAGATAAAGCCACATAACAGAGGGATTGCAGTGCGTTGTACTTTCAGATAGAATATGAGACTTCACATCATGATGCCAATAACCTCACCAAGAAGGACCTGAGATTATGGAGGACATGAGGCTGAATGAGCCACCAGGGCACCTCAGAATCCCAGAATGTCAGGGGTTGGAAGGGACCTCTGAAGATCATCAAGTCCAGCCCCAACCTCCATTGTGAGTAAGTCAGACTCCTGGGTTCCATTAAGAGAAGTGTCACCACTAGACCAAAGGAAGTTGCTCACCCTTCTGCTCAGTGCTGTGAGGTGGCACCAGCACAACAGGGCCCTGGTTGGAGCCTCTCAGTTCAAGAAGGATGTGTAAAGTCTTCCATGGAGAACTACCAAACCAAGATGGTGAGGCATCTGGGTATCAGAGTTTCCTAGGAAAGCTGGAGGAAGCTGGGCTTTAGTCTCTCAGAGGAGAAGCTCAGAGATGATCCAGTTGCTGCCCAGGCTGCCTGACAGACTGAAGATGATGAATCCAAGCTCTTCAGGAGTGACAGACACTGTTACAGGAGGAAATGGCCTCTAAAGGTTTGAGTTAGAAAACCTTCTCCTCAGAGAGGCTGGTGCAGTGCTGGAAGAAGTCCCAGAAAGGGGAAAAATCTTCATCCTTGGGGTTTCAAGACTTCAGTCAACCTGATCTGGTACTGGTAAGAGTCCTCCTTTGAGGGGCTGGCTGGACAGATGCCCCTAGTCTTTCTTCTCCCACTGTGGTGAACTTCTGGGCCAGAAGAAGTTCCATGGAGTTGCCTGCACAGAATGTGAGGAAGGGCTGCTCACAGGGATGAGCTTTGTGGAGCAAAACCAAGGCCCAGCAGCTCATCACACCCATGTGAGAGCAGTTCGTAGTCCCAGCTCCTCCAGGGAGCTTCTGCCAGCAGCTTGCTGGGCTGTGCCCTGTGCAGAGATGGACATTTGCCCCCAAACAGCCCCTTCTTCTAGTCTGAGAGAAACCAGGGCTTGCAGAGCCAGTGGAGCAGAGAGGAAGGCACCAGGAACAAGTATCCAAGATAAGGTTTCTAAGAACCAGACCCCCCCCTGGATCTCATCAGCAACAGGCTCACAGCTCTGTCAGGACCAAAATAAAGCTTTTATCTCCTTTACCCCCTGCCTGGCTGGAAACTGGTCTGTTTTGATGGAGCCCACAGGTCTGGAAGAGAAGAGGAGCAGGCTCAGCCTGAATGGACCCAGTAGAAATGGTTTCCTCTCTGCCTGGAACCAGCGTGGCTGTCATTGAAACCTCACCCCATGTTCTCATCCTCCCTCTCCCAGCTTTGCCACAGCATTTCAGGCTGTTTTGCAGCAACCCTGCTGATCTCCTCAACCTCTGGTGCCAGTGTGAGGAGCAGGGCTCTAACTGGGGTCACAGCACAAAGCACTGACCCCTTGTCAGTCCTGAGTGGCAGCACCTGCACAGATCCTGGTTGGCATCCCAAGAGCCTCTCCCACGACTGCTCTGCACAACAGGGCTTGTTTTCCCAGTGCTGTCCATCCAGAATTGCTCCCAGCACCCTGTGCAATGCCAGGTTGTGTTCAAGACCAGGTTGAATGGGGCTCAGAGCAACCTTGGGCTGGTGGGAGGTGCCCATGCCCATGGCAGGGGGTTGGAAATAAATTATCTTTAAGTTCCTTTCCAACCCAAACCAGTCTGTGCTTTTAGGATTCCATGATCTCCTGCCATTTCTTGCTCACTCTGTGGGACACCCTGCAGTGCCATGTCTGCCCTGCCCACTCAGGGCACTGCTAGGGCTCTGCTTCACTGCCTGATTGTAATGTTTTTTGAGCTCTTTCTCAACTTGGAGCTAAGACAGCCTTGGTTTTACACTGGAGTGGAGCAGGAGCCTTCACATCCTTTACTGAAGGTACAAACTGGAAGAGGAGTTCCAAAATACCCTTTAAAAAAGGGTGTTCTTTTTTAAATGCTACTACTGTAAATACCTAAGAGCACCAGTGATGGTTTCAATTCTCAGAGGAGACACGGCAGAGTTAGAAAACACCCTCCCTGCCTCCCACAACTTCAGCATCCAAAGCAGGGAATTTATTTCAGGGATCCACTACCCACTGGGTTTTTAAATGCAGTTTACTTATTCTCTTGGACAAGAGGATGATGTCAAAACAGTTTGGTTAGAAGACAGTCCAAGGTACCATCACCGTCCAAATGCTTTAAGATGCTGCTGAGGTTGTAAAAGGGGGAATAATTTCTAGCACTGGAGGGAGCTGGCCAGACTCCCAACTCCCCAGCACATCCCACTGGAAAGCTTGGGTTCAGTTCCTTCCAATTTGCCAAGTTTTCCACCCCTGTATCTGCTTCAGGCTGAATTTTTGTGGAAAGCTGAAGCCAAACTGCTCTGCTACTTCCCAAACCAGCCAAACAAACCAAAACAAAATCAAGCAAAAAGCTTCTCCATGACTTGAGCACCACTTTTGTGCTTGGTGCTGTGCAGCAGGGAGCTCAGCCACCCCCAGCTCATTGCAGCCATGCCAGGGAGAAGTGGGGACACCTTCTAGCTACCAGTGAAGGCAGAGAGAAGAAGGTCTCCTTCAGTCTCACTTCCCACCATCACTGTTATTTATAAGATCATGTGAAGGACTCTCTCATTATACCCCAACTGGAGCACTGTGTCCAGTTCTGGAACCCCCAACACCAGAGGGACATGGAGCTGTTGGAGAGAGGCCAGAGGAGGTAAAGGAGATGCTGGGAGGGCTGGAGCAGCTCTGGAGCCAGGCTGGGAGAGGTGGGGTGTTCAGCCTGGAGAAGAGAAGGCTCCAGGGAGAGCTGAGAGCAGCTTCCAGTGCCTGAAGGGGCTCCAGGAAAGCTGGGGAGGGGCTTGGGACAAGGGCAGGGAGGGATGGGAGCAGGGGGAAGGGTTTCCAGCTGGCAGAGGGAGCTGGAGCTGAGATGGGAGGGAGAAATTCTGTGCTGTGAGGGTGGGGAGAGCCTGGCCCAGGTTGCCCAGAGAAGCTGTGGCTGCCCCATCCCTGGCAGTGTTGAAGGGCAGGTTGGATGGGGCTTGGAGCAGCCTGGGCTGCTGGGAGGTGTCCCTGCCCATGCAGGGGGTTGGAACTAGATGATGTCTAAGGTCCCTTCCAACCCAAACCATTCCATGACCCTATGACTCCAACGCATCCAACCCAGTGTCCAAAGCTCTCAGGGACACCTGAACCATGGCAGCCAAATTTGTGAAGGGTTCCCCCTCCCTGCAACAGAGAAACTACTCACCAGTTGATTTCATTGTAGTCATTGTGAACTTCCCACCAGAAGTAAAACCACACCAGGGTCAGGAAGAAGGATGAGGTGAGGATGAGGAACCAAAGTCGCTCCCACTGAGGATGGAAAGAAAAGTCAGTGTCAATATCAGCCCATTTCAAGGCCAGTGCCCCAGCCTGTCCCACACCTCATCCAGAAGCTGTTGAGGTTGAATGGAGGAACTGGACCCTTCCACGGGCAGATTTCAGAGTTTTATCCCCCAGGGGAGGTGGGAAATGCAACCCTGGTCCCCAGCTCTGGGCAGCAGGGTCACTTAGATGGTTCCATCTTATTTTCTGTAGGGCTGGGACACCATTTCTCCACCTCCCAGGGAATGTGAGATGAGCTGGGTTATTTTGTTGGGTTGGGATTTGGGGTTGGGTTAGGTTTTTTTGCATTTTTTGAGGCAACTGTTTAACTTTTCCATTCACAGGTGAGAGATGCAACTTGGCATCTTCCTCCCTCCTGGGTTCAGCCTAAATGACTGGGCAGTTACCACCCAACAAGGACCAAGCAGCAGGTTGGGGCTGCCACAGCTACACAGACACATGAACCCTTCCTCCTTCCCCCAGGGCACTCAGATCCAACACTTCTTCCCACCACAACCCCCCCTGTGAGTGCTTTGCAAACAGGAGGAGAGACCACATGAGCATCAGATGAAAAGAGACTTTCCCCAACATTCCATTTGGGTGAAGGTTTCCATGGATTCACTCCCCCCACCCCCAACAAAAAGCAATGAAAACCAAACAAACCCTAAAAGATCTGTTCAATTCCCCACTCCAACAACCTGGGACAAATCCTGAACCACATGGACACCCACGAAGAGCACAGAGTTGCAAGAAAACTGTCCCTAACCAGCCCCATTCCCATGTACTCCTTGCTGGGTTCTCCTCTGCAGGCTGTAAATAATCCACACATGTTTCCTTTTCAACCTGCATCCAATTTGTTGGGAAGAAAACACTGAAATCAATTACTTATGGAAATGATTCCAATTAATCCTCTCATCCCAGAAGGAGCAAGAAAGGATGAAAACATAGAAGGTGTGTGAGCAACACCACTGCTGTAATTTCCTCCTGGACCCTTGAGCCTCTTCACCTCTTTGGAAAATGCCCTTTTTTTCTCTACTCAACTGTCTCATGGCTTTTCAATTCAGCAAAATAACATCACCAATGTGGTGATTGATGAGACACAGCTCTTCCCTGCCTTCCCTTTCCATCTGAAAGGCTGAAGCTGTTTCCTCATGCATCACCCTGGATACCAATCTTGTGATCCAGCTCTTCCTTGGATGTTTCATCTCATTAAAAGGAAAAAAAAGCAAGCAATAAAAAGGGTTTGGAATCATTTCAGCTTTTTGCTGCTCCAAGAATGATGTTTGCTGCTAAAAAAAACATCCCAATTCTTGGCCAGGGGTTGGAACTTCAGTTCAAACTTCACCACAGCTCAAGTTTGTTAGGAAACTTCAATCAAACCTCAGCAGCACCAGGGGCTTCATTCCCACCTGGGGCTTCATGTGTTCCAGATAAATGGGGCAAAAAGGGACCAGAAGAAGGTACCAAGGGACCATGAGATCATCCAAAACCATGGGGTCAGACTGTTCTGCCATGAGTTTAGACACTACCATCTCCCACCTCATGCACAGATCTGCTCCTCCATGCACAGGTGAGCTCCTGGAGGGAAAGCACTGAGGCTGGAACAGTTTTCCCTCTAAACAGCCCACCTCTGGTAGCAGGATTCCAGCCACAGCATCTGGGAAGAGTTCTTTTCCACTGAGGGTGGTGAAACACTGCAACAGGTTGCCCAGTGAGGTGGGAGATGCCCCATCCCTGCAAACATTGAAGGTCAGGTTGGATGGGGCTCTGAGCAACCTGATCTAGTTGCAGATGTCCCTGCTCACTGCAGGGGTTGGACTGGATGAGCTTTAAAGGTCCCTTCCAACCCAAACCCTTCCATAACTCTATGATCCAGGTCAGCTCCACAGCCAACACCAGCCTTCCCCAGCCCCAGAAGCAGCAGCAAGGCCAAAACATCTCTCCACCTCCACACCAACCACTGCTGCACAGCCAAACCAACCCTTTCCAACCCAGAACTTCCACGCCCACCCATCATGCCACATCTGGATTATATAAACCCCAAAACCCACTCACACCTCCACTCCATCCCACCAAAGCTCTCCAGGACACTTGCTAACCTTTTCAACAGACTATGACTGTTTTCTCCTGGATGCCTTCCAGTCTGCAGATCTCCAAGCTCTCAAATCCCACCTTCCCAATTGTTTGCTGGTTTTTCTCTCTACACTTGGGTCTAACATCTCCTTGCACCTGAGCCAGGTGACTGGGCAGCTTTTTGAAAGACAAGTGAGGTTTGAAGCATCTCAAGTGCTGAGGAGCAACATTGCTACCAAAAAAATCATCCCTGTGTTCTCCAAAGGTCATTATGCTATAAAGCTGTTGGAGAAACAAGCCAAGAAAAACATTTTGGAACATTTAGGCTTCTTTTTTTTCATATTTTGGTGTTTTTCTCCCCACCTGGTTTATATGCAAGTAGGGCAGTTAGTGTCAAACTCATCACAAGCTATTTTTGGTCTGTCCTTGATGGTGCACTTGCCAGATCTATTTGCTTGGCTGATTTTGTGAAACCTCAGTCAAGCTGTTGAAGGGTTAACATGTTTCACAGGTTCTCCCCACCCTCACAGACAAGAATTTCTTCCTAATGTCTAAACCAAGTCTCCCTTCTTCCATTCCCCCTGCTCCCATCCCTCCCTGCCCTTGTCCCAAGCCCCTCCCCAGCTTTCCTGGAGCCCCTTCAGGCACTGGAAGCTGCTCTCAGCTCTCCCTGGAGCCTTCTCTTCTCCAGGCTGAACACCCCAACTCTCCCAGCCTGGCTCCAGAGCAGAGCTGCTCCAGCCCTTGGATCATCACATCTCTTAGTGAGATACCATTTTTAAACCAAAGAAACTCTTCAGCCAACAAATCCATGGCTTTTAAGGAGTTCCTTTAGCATCCTGGCTGCCTCTGGAAGCTGATCCTCTGCCACCACCTGCCCCACACAGACCTAACAGGCATTTGTCTGCCCCAGTCATGATCCCCCCTGGATCATGAGCACAACTCAAGCCTGGGTCAGACTCTGCCCATTTGATCATTTACTTGATGAACCCTTATTAAGCCTTTAGATCACCAAATTGCCCCCCCCCCAAAAAAAAAAGCAGATCATCACAGCATCAGGATCTAAACAAGAGTGTGATTTGGGTTCAGAACAGAGAAGGAACATTCAAGACCTTAAAGTCAAGGTTGCCCAGGATGAGAATCCAGTGATTAGAAGTCACTATCAAATACAAATATACAAGTATTTATCTATACAAATATATATCTATACAAATCATTTACCCTGAACCCTCCTCCTTAGGTTTGGATGGTTTTAGAATTAAGCTGGCTCTGTCAGACAACATGTCCCAAGCCCTGACTGGGGCATGCAGGCAGAAAAGAGGGGCACAACATGTGAGGACACTTGAAATGGCTTATTTGCTGCCAAGTATATACCCAAAGATCACCAAAATGCTGTGCCATGAGCTCCTTTGCTCCTCCTGTGGAGCCAGATGGGCCCAGAAAAGCCAAGATTAGAGCCAGAATGAAGCAAAGCATCAATATTTTGCTTCACTGAAGTTGCTAGAGTCACCCCAAGTCAAGACTGGTCCTGAAATGTCCTACCCCACCTGCAATGGCCTCTGGAGACCCCAGTCAGCTCACCCCCAAGGAGCAGCAGGACTTGCATCCTTGGGATGCACCTACACCTCCTGGCCTTGGGATAAAACCTGCAGGAGCTCCTCTAAAGCCAACCCCCCACCTCCAGCATCCTCTCTGGCACCCAGAAGCAATGTTGAGTTTCCACATGAACTGGAAAGACAGGAGCCTGCTTTGAACTGGGAATAGGTAAGAGGAAATGCCAGTCCTGGGTGGATTAGGGCTCCATGCCCACGTGGATCAGCTCATGGCAAACAACAGCCCAGCACTCACCAGCGTGCCAGGAGTTGGGTCCCTTCCAACTTTTTGCATCCCTAGAAGGCTTCTGGTGCAGGAAGTCAAGTGCCATTGTAGTCATGCTACTGGGAGCCCCACTTCACACCAGTACAGGTCATCATGGCAGCTCATGGATGGAAAGGGGCAGGTTTTCCTTACAGTCCCCCTCCTTTTGATTCACACCCAACTGTGAGGACTGCACAGACCCTCACATCAAACCCTCTGGGGCAGCAGGTCCCCAAAGCTCTCCCACAGCAGCTGAAAGCAGAGCAAGCAAGATTTCACCTAGAGGGCCTTCAAAACAGAGGTGGGAGGGTGATTGCTTGGAAATGAGATGCACGACAAAGCAGATTCCTCTTCCTGATTGCTTTAAAAAAAAGACCAGAAGGCAGCAAATATGAACAACTTCACACTAAAGCCATCACTGAGACCACTCAAAGGAAACAACACAATTTAGTGTGTCCAATTCTGGAGCCCTCAGCACAGGAAGGACATGGAGCTGTTGGAGAGAGGCCAGAGGAGGCCCCAGAGATGCTGGGAGGGCTGGAGCAGCTCTGGAGCCAGGCTAGGAAAGCTGGGGTGTTCAGCCTGGAGAAGAGAAGGCTCCAGGGAGACCTGAGAGCAGCTTCCAGTGCCTGAAGGGGCTCCAGGAAAGCTGGGGAGGGGCTTGGGACAAGGGCAGGGAGGGATGGGAGCAGGGGGAAGGGTTTCCAGCTGGCAGAGGGAGCTGGAGCTGAGATGGGAGGGAGAAATTCTGTGCTGTGAGGGTGGGGAGAGCCTGGCCCAGGTTGCCCAGGGAAGCTGTGGCTGCCCCATCCCTGGCAGTGTTGAAGGCCAGGTTGGATGGGGCTTGGAGCAGCCTGGGCTGCTGGAAGGTGTCCCTGCCCATGCAGGGGGTTGGAACTAGATGATCTTTAGGGTCTCTTCCAACCCAAACCAGTCAGGGATTCTATGCACAGTCAGCTAGAACTTTGCTCCAGACACAGGTTTTGATTAGAACATCAAAACTTGCTCTGGAGGAAGCTGGTCTTCTCTGTTGTCTACATAAAGAGCCTCTGAAACCA